GATGCCCAGCACCATCCAGAGCTGCCACCCCCTCCCTGCTCCCATGGGATCCCCACTGCCGTGGGGTGCAGCAGGAGCCAAGGCCTCCCCCACCCCGTCACGGCTGTCAGCCCCATGTGGGTGTCCCCATGTGTCCCCAGGGGTGGCACAGGGACCACCCCAGTGCTCAGCACCATCCACGGGGACTCAGGGCTGGGAAGCCACCCCAGGTGACAAGGTGGGGTTGGGAATGTCCCCCCAACACAAGGGCAGCCCCAGGCTTTGGCAGCTCTGCTGGCACCCAGCTCTGAGTGGCCCAGCAGGACAGCAGCTGTCCCTGCTCCAAAATGGAAAACTTATCACAGTGGTTAATTGGTTTTAAGCAAAGCCTAATTGGGATTGTACACCTGGGCACCGTGCTAGTTTCTGAGCCATAACTGGCCTCAAAATTGGGAGAGGGGGTGGCGTGACTGGGCTGTGAGAGGAGGGATTTTGGGAGTGGGATTTTGGGAGCATATTCCTGGGGACACGGTGCTGGGAGCTGGGTGCTGGGAGCTGCCTTCCAGAAGGTGGATATTGGGAGCAGGGTTCTGGGAGTGGGATCTGGGAGCAGGATGCCAGGATGGGTGGGGTGGTCCTGCCAATCCACCGGGCTTGGCAGCTCTCACGTGGGAGCCCTGCCAGGCTCCCGTTATCCTGGAACAACAAGGCTCTTGCCCAAGAGTGCTGTGCCTTTTCCAGGAGGGATTTTGGGGCTGGCTCCATGCAGAGCCTGGCTCGGGGGCACACAGAGCCTGATTTGCACGGTCCTGGTGTCACACAAAGGCAGAGCCGTGCTGATGGTGACGGATGTGCTGGCTCGGCACCGAGACCTGGCTGAGGATGGTGAGGATGGTGAGGATGGTGAGGATGGTGAGGATGGTCCCATGGAACAATCACAGCCCAAGCAGGGCTGGGGATGCCCAGTGCTGCCAGCTGGGCTTCCAGGGAAAGCCAGGCTGCTACAGAGAAACAACTTTTTGAAAAAACAAGAGAAAATCTTGATATAAATTGATCATCTGCTGTGGAGGCAATGGGCTTGGGCACACCCTGCTGAGGACACGGGCAGGTCCCAGTGCCAGGTAACAGGGACAGGGATGGCGTGGATGGATGGCACAGCTGCCAAGATGTCCCATTTCTCCCTCTCTGGGATACACCACGTGGGAATGGAGTTCCTTGTGCTGTCTCTGTCTCCGTTCAGGAAAGAACCCCCAGATCCTGAGGAGCCAAAAGGGGCAGAGGGGGCAGGAGGAGCTGAGCTGGTGCTGTCCTGGCCACAGTGGCACGGCCAGGCTGGCCAGGGGACAGGCAGAGGTGTGGGCAGGGGACTCAACAATGCCTTTCCAGAGATGATGCTCGGCTGTAGCACCTCATGGAATCTGGATGGGTTTGCCTGCAGCAATGTGCCAAAAATTAATATGCAGGTGGAAGGATCCTTCCCCCTGGAGCGGGCTGAGGGAGAGGAGCACAAACCCGGCGGCTGCCACGGGAGATGATGCTCTTATCAGAGCAGCGACACCGACAACCCAGCTCTATACATTTTTAATAAATCATTTGAAATTCCTGACTGTCAGGAACATTGAATCGGGTGCTTCCCTGGCTGAAAGGCTGAGGGGCTGTGCCAGCCCTCCTGGCAGCTCTGAGGGGGGGCACAGGGGTTCTGGTCCCACCATGTGGCATTGCCTGGAGCTGCTGGGTGTTGCTTGGTGCCCTGGGCACGGCTCTGTCCCACTGTGGAAGGTTCAGGGATCATTCACCTTCCTTCTCCCACCACAGTTGGTGCCTTCACGGTGCTGGGGCTGCTGACAGCCCAGCAGAACTGGGAGCAGCACAGGGGAGAGGGGGAACCTGCTGAAACAAGCAAATTGCAACGATTCCCCTTTTCTAAATGTCAGCAGATTTGGAGGGGAAAGAAGCAAATAAGTTAAAGGTGAAGATCTCCTGGGAATCTCCAGCTCTCTCTGCTTTTGTTCCTGTGGCTCAGCTTCCTGGGGCTGCCCCCCTTGGCAGGGACCACCCTGTAATTGAGGATGGCAGAACATCCCAGCAAAGCTCCATAAATGCACTTAAATACTACAATCAAGAATTTTGGGGCAGAAGGAAACTGGTTTGTGAGCAATGGGAGGGAAATTAAATACTGGGCGGTGTGGGGGAGCGGAGGTAACACCATGTGCAAAGAATGGGACAGGAACAAGCCCAGCAGCACCATCAGGCCTGGCCCTGATCGTGTCCTCTTCCAGGAAATGGTCACTCACAGAGCCAAAAGGCTTTGCCAAGGAGCAGGTGAATTCCCTGTGATGGGCTCTGAGGCCCTGGCACCCTGGGGACCAGCAGGGAGGAGGTGATGGCCACAGGACAACACCCAGCTGTGCCCCCTGAGCCCTTCCTGGGAGTGGCACTTTTGCTGTGCCCACAGAAGATCCCCTCTGCAGCCAGAGCCTGGGGACACAGGCTGGAATTGGGTCCTCCTTATGCTCCCAGCCCACCACTCACAAGGGTTATCACCCAAGATTTTGGTGAAATTGGTTGAATTTTTCACAAAATACCATGAGGAGGGAAGAAAAAGGCACAGTTTCTGCTCGGGCAGTGCCGGTGGAGAGTGAGGACACAGTGACCTCAGGATGCTCCCGGTCAGTGCCAGGATGCAGAGCTGGCACAGGGCCATGCTGGGGCAGGGCTGGGGCTGCTGTTCATCACACTCCAGCCCCAGGAGCACGTGGATATTTCTGTGGTGTCCCCTCGGGGGCTCTTGCAGGAAGCTGGACTCTGCTGCTGGTGTTGGAGCTGGGAAGACCCTGAGGGGAGTCACAGGAACGATGATCTATCATATGCCAGTGACCCGGACAGGGATATTTTTAAGCAGGGAATAAAAATAGACTCAGGCTGGCAGCGAGCACTCGCTCCCGGCATCACTGTCGAGGGGGTTGGGGGCTGGGAGGGAAGGTAAGGTAGACCCCAGCCCCTCACCCCACACCCTGATCCCCCCCACCAGGGACGGTCCATCCTGGCTTGCTTTTGTGTCACCAGCTGCCACCTGGGGACTGTCACCCTGCCCAGGCCACCCTCTGGCCCTGCAGATGCCAGGGTGGTGTTGTGGGGCTGTGAATGCCCCCAGAAAATGCTGCCTGATGCGCTGGGAGAGAACGCAGGCGCCGCTGGCCCCGGGACCCGGCTGGAATGGGGATTTGTTTCAGCTGAATAACTTGCTGAATCTATAAATAAACCAGGGGAAAGCAAGAGCAGAGCACAGGAGCTTCTGCCTTGCTGACCCTGCAGCACCCCAGGCAGCTGCCCCTGAATGCTGCCCAGCTCCACCCCTGTGCCCACCCGGAGCAGTGGCACCTGGAGGGGACAGCAGGGAGGATGCTGCTGGACATGGTTCCTTGCCTAAACAGGAGATTTCTGAGCCTGGATCAGCCACCTGCCCTCTGTGCCCTCCATGCCCTCTGTGATCCCTGGATCCAGCTCTCCCAGTCTAGCCCCAGCACTCAGAGAGCTTCTGGCCCCAAGGATCCCAGCAAGGAGCTGTAAGGGACCAGTTTTTCTTTGTGGGCAAATTCTACTCTCACTCTGGTGAGATTTGGGATCCAGGAATGTGCCCATGCACTGCACAGGGTAAGGGGCAGCAGATCCTCTGTGCCACAGCAGCAGCTTGGAGAGACCCCCACTCCTGCCTTCCTTCCTCTTCCTCCTCCTCCTCCTCCTCCTCCTCCTCTTCACGCCTGGCTGACCCTGGCTGTCTCACTCCGCTCTCCATTTGCTTTCCCAACAGATGTTGGTGTCTCTCCTCTAACGAGCATTTTAACGCCGGAATCTCTCTCTCCCCTCTGACTGGGAAGCAAAAAGCTTGACATCTCCCATCAGCATCAAAGTCCCTCACCCCAACACTCTGTGCCCCACCAGTGCTCCGTGTCCTCAGCAGTGTTCGTGTCCCCCATGTGTGCTGTCCTTGCCTGGAGCCACCTCTTAGACCCCCATCCCCTTGGAGCGATGCATTTGGAAACAGCTGGGAGCTGGGGGAAACCTCCAAGGGTTTGATGGGAATGGGAAGTGGGGTTGTGAGCCAAAACCGGCCGAACTACAGCACCACTAGCACCGATAAACCTCAGCAGGGTGGGTGGGCACCCCTGCGTCCCTTGCTGTGCCATGGTGACATTAAATACAGACAGGGGCTGGCAGGGAGCTGAAGGTGCCATTTCCCCCTCCGTGTCCTTCACCATCCCTTTGTGTCCCTGCTGCCAGCACGGGAGGGCTGCGTGCGGGGCAGGAGCCAGCGATCCCAAATATCGACAGCGGCCCGATCAATGCTATCTCCTCTTTCCATGCCTATGAGCTCATTGATTTTTTTTTTTTGTTGTTGTTACCTCTGTGTTTATGTAATGTCTGAACTTTGCACAACTGAACCGTTTAATGTGCAGAAAAGAGCCCTGTTGCCATGAAAACGGACCTGCAAATGACAGCACGGATGCGGAGATATCCCTGTTTTATTGGGCCATACGGAATGGATTTTAACCTTGATAAGTCAATAACTTTTCGTACAAAAAGAACGAGAGCAGATACAGCTTTCAGAACCTTGAATGTATTTAAGGCAGAGAGTAATGGCCCGGTTTTAATCCCCAGGAAATCTTTCTCGTTCCGAGGGCCAGGCATTGCCAGGGCAGAGTGACATTTTGGGCAAAGAATTACAGCATGCATTTGTCAGGATGAGAGATGGAGACACTCCGTGCTCCAAATTGCCAGTGCCGGTCAAAAATAATGATATTAAATTAAAGGGATATCGTTATCTGAAAGAGCACAGAATCAGAGAAGAGAATCAATGAATGGTTGGAGTTGGGAGGGACATTAAAGCTCATCCTGTTCCACCCCTGGCCATGGGCAGAGACACTTTCCACAATCCCAGTTTGCTCCAAGCCCCATCCAACATGGCCCTGGACACTTCTAGGGATGAGGCAACCACAGATTCTCTGGGCAACCACTGCCAGGGCCTCGCCTCCCTCACAGGGAAGAATTTCTTCCTCACATTTAATCTAAACCTGCTCTCTGCCAGTTTGAAGCCATTCCCGTTGTCCTGTCACTACAACCCCATGTTATTCCTGTTTTGGGAGCATGGAAAACTTCGGGTGGGCTCCCCAGTGCCTCAGGGGAGGGACTCACCCGCCGCCACCCCAGACGTGCTGATGCATTATTTATTTGTGCTAAAGCAGAAGGACTTTTAAAAATCTCTTTCCTCCAGCTTCCTCCCTGCAATTCAATCCCTCTGGAAGTGGCAGCGGAGCCCGGTCTCACTTTGCAGAGCTCATTCATTAGCAGATTAAGGCTCTCCTTGTGTTCCCAACATCGCTGGGGGAAATTTATGTTCCGGCAAAGTATTCACGGGTTCCCTGAATCACAAAAGTGTTTCTCCTCTGTAAAGTCTTTAAAAAAAAAAAAAAAAAAGGAGAAAAAGGATGGAAATGGGGAGGTCAGAACTGCTTAATAATGTCTCCTTGAAGGCAGTGCCAAAACACCCACCTTTTGAAGTTTGCTATTCCAGGATGGATCTCTTCCCTGGCAAAGACGCCGTCACCCTTTCAAGTCCTTGTGAGTGACTTCAGGTGGCTAAAACATTTTCTGAGAAGAATGAAGGCTCCTTTTTATATCTCTTTTTGTTCCCCCCCGAATAAAGAGCAATCTTTCTTCCTGCCTTCCTAATAGCTTTGATTAAATTATCTCTGAAAAATCTAAGTGCTGTTTGCAAGTCTGTAATGGTTTTATTCTTATCGCCGGCCTCTATTGCAACACGGGGAAGCAGATAAATAAGCTGCAGAGAAGGTATAAAACTGCACCAGAACCTGCCAGAGAGATGAGCTAAAAATGTTTGAACTGAAACAAATGAGCAGTATGAATAGCCCTGCTCTGAGAGGGAATTTATTCAATATAATGTATTTTCACAGGGAGGATAATACGTGTTATAATTGCACAGAGGAGTCGCTCTCCTGAAAGCAGATCTAGCTATTATTTTAATTTCCCAGCCTTCAGCATTTGCTGGATCAGGAGTAGTGACTGGAGCAGCTTCACGTTTTTGGAAAATGGGCCCTGGGTGTCTGCTCTCCCCTTGCCACCGTTATGGATAATAATCCATGATTATGGGTGCCTGGAAAGCTGCTGGTGCTTCCCTCGGTGGGGGAGGTGGAGAGGCCCGAAGAATAAGCCAGATGCACTCAAAACTCCTCAAAACTCAGTAAGAAGACAGATCTCCCCAAATGTGGCCAAACCTCAGCGCTGTGAGGAAGGAGCTGGGGATGAGGGATGGAGGGAGGTGGATGAGCTGCTGAGGGGGTGCTCGGGAGCTGCCCATGCCCATGTGGGACCATTATGGACCAGAGTGAACGGGCTGCCCCCTCTCCGCAGGGCCTCGCACACGTGAAGCGGCACAAAGAACCTGTGGCAAGGATTTTGGGGAAGCAATAATGGACTTGTGCTAATGGGGCAGCCTCGCTCGGACCTCACAGTGCGCAGGGTTCAGGGGTGTCTGTGGGTATAGCCATTGGGGTCCCCATGTGAGATCCAGCCTGGCTCCGGACTTGACACCCCAGATTCCCCTCACGCCAGCAGGACTACAACTCCCATGACACCTCGCGGCGCTCCTCAGCCCCACGCCGCGGCGCCGGCGCGCGGGGCACGCCGGGAAGCGTAGTCCCGCCGTTCGGATTTTCCCGCTCGTGCAGAGAACGGGGGGTGTGGCGGGCAGAGGTGCGGGAGGGGGACCCGCACGTTCGGCGGGGACGCTCCGCCTCTCCCCGCAGGACGCGGCGCCGTGGCCATGGCAACGCGCCGGGGGCGGGCCCGAGCCGCGTGCGGCCGCCGGGCCCCGCGCGGGGCGCTCAGAGCCGCCGCAGCCGCGCACCGGGCGGGAGCCGCCACAGCCGCCAGCCGGGGCCGCCCCGCCGGCGCCCCCCGCCCCGCCCCGCCCCGCCGCGACCCCCGCCCGCCGCCATGGAGCGCTGAGCCGCCGCTGCCCCCCACCCCACCACCACCACCCCGCGACACCCATCCACCCCCCCCCCGCCCCGCCCCGCCGGGCACCGACCGCCGCCGCACAAAGGAACCGGGGGCAGCCGCGGTGTGATGCCCCGCGGGGTCGCCGCGCCGGCCCAGCTCAGCCGCGCCGGGTGGATTTGGGGTTAATTAATTTTTTTTTTTTTTTTCTTCTTCTTCTCCCCGGATATTTTTTTCGCTCTTCCTATTCCCCGCCCCTTTCCCCGCGGTGCTCCCCGCCGTCCCCCCCGCCCCGGGGCCGGGAGCCGCACGCTGGCCGCGCACGGGGCGGGGCGGGCCGCCGGCGGGGCGCGGGGCCGGGCGGGCGCCGCCGCTGCTGCTGCGCGGCCCGGGGGGGCGGCCCGGCGCGCCCCGCAACGCAGCGCCCGCAGCCGGCCCGGATCCAGCTCTGACGGTAACGGGGGTCCGGGCACCGGGGAGGTCGGGGTGGGCTTACCGGGCGGGGGCGCGGGGACCGAGGGGCTCCGCCGGCTCCCGGAGCGCAGCGGAGGCGGTGCCGCCGCAGCGCGGTGCCCGGTGGTGCCCGCGGAGCCGTCGCCGCCGGGGCCCGGCTCGCCCGTCGCTACCGGAGAGGAACGGGAACAACTTTTGTTTTTTTGGTTTTTTTCTTTTTTTTCATCCGATTTTTGATTTTTTAAATGGCTTTTTGGGTCGCCTGACTCGTAAGTGGAAATAAAATATCCACGGGTGCCTCCAGGAGGAAAGCTGAGACACTTCCAGCGAGAGCCGACCGGGAGCTGCCACCTTTGCTGCGACCCTTTTCTGCCCCTTTTCGCCTCGGAGAAAAAAAAAAAAAAAAAAAAAAAAAAGGGTTTTTCTCCTCCGTCCCGGGCAGGAAAGCGCCCGATCCCACCGCGACACCGGAGCGGGTGGTGGCAGAGCAGGACCCCGCCATGGACCCCGCGCCTGGTGTGGATCCCGCCGGTCACAAAGGAGAGGGAAGAAGGACCCACCCAGCGATGGTTTATTTAACACCCGTCTCCCTGGCTGCCTCCGCCGGGTCAGGAGGCTCTGCCGGGGAAAATCCCCTCTGGAAAAAGCTCGGCTGCGGAGACATCATCCCTGTGGTGTCTTCTGGACCATCGGCGCTGGGAATACGATTCACCGGGGACGAGGCATCGTGGTCCCCGAGAGCTCCTGGGCAGCACGGCTGGGCATCCACCGGGGCGGCCGGCGGCTCCAGCCGGGGACGAGCGAGCTGTGCCGCCTCTCCGGCTCGGTCCCCGGCAGAAATGAGGTGTTGCCGGTGCCAGCGTCCCAATCCAGCTCCGGGGAGAGCCGTCACATCGTGGAGATTTAATGGCTGGAGAGGCAGGGCCTGGACGCAGCGAGCCGGCGGCGGCACGGCACGGCACGGCACAGCTCGCTGCAGGGCACGGCTGCAAGCGGGGCTCGGCTCCGGCCCTGCGGGGTATTTCCGAGGAGAGGCAGTGGCAAAGTTTTCCAGCCGTGCTTGGTGTTTGCCAAGGGATGAATTCACTGGCATTGGGCAGTGGTGGTTTGCCCGGCTCTGGTTGTTGGGATTTCCGTAGGGAGGTTTTTGATACGTATTTGTGTGTGTGTATATATATATATATATATTTATATGTGCATCCTCCTGCTCGGGATGCTCTGGGTGAGGAGCTTTCATGGAGGGCAGAGTGACCATGGGGACAGAGCCACGTGGCCCTTCTCTCAACAAGGAGCGTCCAGCGTCGTTCTCGGGATAATTTAGTGGGATTTGGCAGTTTTACCCCTCCTCATGCCCCTGTGGTGGGGTTTGACTGCCCGGGGTGCCAGTCACTGGTCAGTGGCCACACATGTGCGACCCTGGCCGGCAAAGCTCTCACACCCAGGCGGTGGTGAGGTGGGAAATGTCCCTGGCAGAGGGCACCCGGCATTCTGCGAGGGATTTTTCTTATGAAGGATCCATAAAACTTTGAGGAGGGGACGGCGTGAGCCGGGTGCGGTGGGGTCGTGGTGGAAGGAGAGGGATGCTCTTACCGCGGTGCCTTCTGCTTACCTTGTGTGCAGAGCAGGGGACGGGAATGCCATTCCCTGGGAGCAGGGCTTGTTTTCCCAGCTTCAGGAGCATCTTTCCTGCTGGTCTGAGGGTCGGTACCAGTAAGGCACGTTCTTGATGCCGGAGCAGCGCCGGCTGTGAGCTGGGCCCTGCTTCAGCCAAGCGTGTCGTTAAAAATTGCAATATCTCGGTGTGAATATTTGCCCTCAGGCTGGAGCAGGGAAGTCCATGGAAGGACCACATGAGTGGCTGCTGCCAGGCTGCTGAGACCACGTCACCTTAGTTTTTTAGCCCCTCTGGTTGTTTTAAGCCTGAAATTCGTCCATCCCTAAGCGGGCTGCGGAGGAGCCCCTTCCCTCCTGGGGCTGTTTTTAATTGCGTGCTGCTGCCCTGCCCGGGGAAGGGCTCTGGCTCTGGGACCGAGGGTCTCCCGGTCCCACGACCCCACGGGGGTGATGCCCCGGAGCCGGTGCCCCGTGCCCGCCGCCGTCCCGGAGCTGTCCCCGCGCTCCCCGCCGTGCGTGCGGCATCACTGCCGGGGGTTTGCATCCCTGCCAGGCGGCGGAGTTAATTTTTGCCTGGAGCAGGTTTTCTGCGTGGCCTCAACTTGTGAGGGAAAAAATCTGCGGTGGAGCCGGGCAGCCCCCCGCTCCCTCCCCGGCGTGATGCTGCGGCACAGGGAGCGGTGGGCTCGGGAATGTGTGCGGGGAGCCAGCCCAGCCCAGTCCCCTCCGGCTGTTGGGGTACCACGGGCAGGGATGCGGGGTCCTGAGCGTGGAGGGTGATGGTCCCTACGACTCCATGTGGGGACAGCAGGATGTGTGTCCCTGGGTGAGGTCTCACCCTGGGATGGAGGCGGTGTGTGTGTGACCCCCCCAAGGCTGGGGATGCTGCAGCTGGCGGGGTGGGCCGGGGGCTGCACCTGCCGGGACCCCTCTCCCGGCCCCCGCCGGCATCTGTGCCGCCGCATGTCCGTCTGCAGCAGGCGCATGCATGCAAAAATAAGACATTTCTTCTTTCTCTTCTGCCTGCGCATTCCTCAAAAAGCTAATATTCATGAAAGGTAATTCAATCAAACCACGATGCCTATCAGCTAATGCAGCAAAGCTGGCGCAGGGGTGAGAATGGGAGCCAGGAACACAAAAGCCCTGTTTTATTACCTCCTGCTTGCCTGAGAATTGCTTTTCTCCCTCGAGTGAGCCGGCTAAAGCTGGCTTTATTATGTTAACCTATTTGCGTGTCAAGAGCTATTGTGCCTCTCTTTATCTGTGTTTGTATTTGCTCGATGCAGGGAATAAAAGGACGAGGCGAAAATGGATGGCTGGTCAGTGCTCCGCACTCTGGGGGCACTGATTGGTTGCTAAGTGATTTGCATCCCCGGTAATCGCTTTTATCTCGGAAGGATGTCGTGTATAATTATAAGCCTACTGACATCTTTTGAAATCTGCCTAATGGGTGTTTTTAATTTACATGGGAAGCAGGGGCTATTTGTGTTGCTCTGATTACAGGTTGGGGGAGTATATGGGTTAAAATGCAGATATTTCCATAGATGCTGGGCACCGGCAGGGATGAGGCTGGGATTTTTGGCAAGTCCCTGCTCGCCTAGGGATGAGTGGAAGAGCACAAGTCGCCGTGTGTGAGTTTGGGGTTTAATCCCTCAGCCCAGTGCACAGACTGTTGCGGTGCTGGTCCTGCAGCCATCCTGTGAAATACAACACGAAGTGGGCTCCTGGCTGCTGTCAGAGCCAGCTGGACCCCCAGGACCCCCCTGTGCCACCGAGTCCCCACTCCTGCCATCTGTGCCAGCATGGGGCTGATGGTGCTGATGGGGGTGGCACACGGAGCTGGCTGTGCCTGCGAGGGGACAGCCTGAGGTTCTTGTTCAGCCCCCCATGCAGGGAGTACCTGTGGAAATGCTTTCTAGGGGTACCTGTGGAACCATCTGGGTTCACATGGGATGAGTTCACACAGCCACAGCACATAAAGCTCCTGAGCACCTGTGCCAGCCCCGGGCACCTGCATCCAGCAGGATCCCAGCAGGGTGGCTCGATGGAGGTGCTGGGGCATCAGCAGAGTCCAGGATGAGCTTCCCCCTGTTAGGGCCATTGGCAGGGCTGTGGGTGCCTGTCTGTGGGAGCTCTGAGACTGTCTCTTGTGTGTGCCTGGGTGCAGAGGAGCCATGCGTGGGAAACATCCTGGCAGGAGCGCTGGGCTAGCTGTGCCAGTGGCACGCTCGATTTCGTGTTTCTATCTGTGCTATTGGAAAAGCACAGCTCTGAGCTGCTCAGGTGCTGAGATGTGGGGTCTTGGGATTCCCCTAGGGCTCTGTGCACTGGGACTGGGTCACCTCAAACACGCAGAGGTCCTGAACTGAGGTTGGTGCTGGTGACAGACAGCCAGGGTTGGGCTGGGTGAGAGTGTGGGGCGGGTCACCCGCAGGGACAGCTCCAGCCAGCTGCCTCCTTCCTCCTCCTCCTCCAGGAAAGGCCAGGAGTGAGCCACAGGCACGTTGCAGCTCCCTCAGGCCGCGCACAAGGTGACCCCATCAATTTGCAGGGCTGAGGTGGCTCCGTTCTGAGCAGGGTGGGATGCAGGGAAATGTGGGGCATGGGAAAAGTTGATAGAGGAGAGCGAGTGCTGGACCCCACACCTTGGAGCCTGGGGTGCTGGGTCCCCCTGCACAGGCAATCCCATCCCATCCCATCCCATCCCATCCCATCCCATCCCATCCCATCCCATCCCATCCCGCTGGCGAGCGAGCGGCGCGGGCGCCGCTATTTATGGCTGGCTGTAAACAAACTCCCAATGAAAGAAAGTTAATGACCTGAGACTGACAGGAGCCTGCTGGGAGTTTTTATAGCCCCTGGGACTCCTTTTGCTAAAGAGAGAATACATCAGCGTTTTAACCCAAAACGGCGAGAGCCGCGCGCTGCGGGGGCGAGGGGACGGCCTCAGCCCGGGGAGGTGTTTTGGAGGGGCTGGTGCTGGGTGAGGAGGGGGGCTTTGGTCAGGGGACTTTGACTCTGTCTCACTGTGTGGGACTGGGATGTGCAGCCCCTTTTTGAGGAGGCATGTCCCGGCGTCGGCTGCTCTCCAAGGCTTTGCCATCTGCCTCTTGTAGGTCATCTCTCTGCGCTCCAGGCAAGAGCGGGGGCTGGCTTAGTGTGGCTGGTAACCACACACTAATAAAGCCTTAATACCCTGCAGCGGGGAGATTTCACTGTCAGAGATAAATATTCATATTGCTTTCCAATTCAGCCTTGGCTGCACGACAAGGGCGCCGTGGGGGGAGACGGGAGGGCTGCGGTGTGGGGTGCTCCGAGCCCCGCTGGCTGCCCTGCCTGCTCCTGCCTGCCTGGTGCGTTTAATACCCTGCCCTGGCTAATTGTGGG